AAAAAGAAAAAGGACAGCTTTGCTTATGTAACACAAATCAAGATATTTAAAATAGTCTTAAGACTAAACCATCTAGAAGCTGGGTAATAAACCCATTAAGCTCAAGTTAACTCCTTTTCCCCATCTTATTACGTGAGTTTTCTCCTCTAGCCTTTTGGTAGCTCTCTGATGAGTTGTAACCAGAACTTTGACTGGGCTTACTGCTCTGATACAGACATGGATCAGAAATTATAAAGTATTAAGTGGAACAAAGTTTTAACTCTATGGGAATATTTGAGTCGCCACCTTATAGAAACATTATCTTTGTCTTAGAGAAAAGAGCACGTGCAATGAGATATAGCAACCAAAACTCTTGACAGGCCGAATTGGATGAAGTTACGCCAGGCAATATGGCAGCTCCCCACACCCACTTTGAATGCACATCACTTTTAACCGCCTTCGAAATAATCCACTTCGTGCATCAGATGCCCCTTCTAAATCATTCCAGGTTGTAACCTGTCATTTTTCTCATTCTAGTTACTTTTCTCCATTGAACTCACATTTTACAAATTCATTCTCATTTCACCGTGTCAACCATGACAGAAGATTCATATTGCGTTGAAGCTCTGATTATATTACTTGCTGATTACCTACAGCACACTAACACCATGACTAATATTTAAAAACATTTACCTTAGTCACTCCAACTGGGACAGGGTCAAACACTTTACGCTGCTCTTCCCGAGGAATCTGAGAATGCAGAGGCAGAATCTGATACCGATGGCTCCCTGGAATACACAAAGTTAACTAAAATTAGCAGAAAGGTTTAAAACCCTTCTTCCGCAGCACTGAATTTCCTGGGTTATCACTCACTGGCTATACAACAAGGAAAAATATTTCCACTCTCATATAATAGAATTCAAAGATGCATACCAAAATGAGCATTCATTTCCAAATGTTTTTGCATTGTATAAATCAAATTCCAGCCAGGCAGGAAAACCAACACAGCTCCAGGAACATTGAGGGTCTCAATATATTTAAGTAGTGCCTCGATCAGTTCAAAGGGAGTTTCCTTTTCATTCATTTGAGCCATGCTCATCCTTGTTTCTGGACCATATTCATCACCACAGATCAGATTGCAGTTTGTCTGCAAAAGAACAGGCAGGTAAGTCACGAGGGTAAGTTTACTAGTCTTTCAGTTTAGATTCCTCATGTCCTTACTAATCATAGCTCATTAAATCATGCACTGGCATGTAGAAAATGTTTATTTCCAGAAATGTACATTTCCCAAGCTTCCTTAAAAAACACATAAACAACAAATAAACAATGTAAACCCAAGACTCTAGTAAT